GTGCACCTGGATAACATTTTTAGGTTGTTTTGCCCTCCTTGGAACAATAGCAACATTGGGTCATCAGTTATACCCATCAAGTTACAGGAAAATTCTAGCTGCCTCACAAACAACTGGACAGCTCAGTTATGATAAGGGTATGAGCAAAATTGTCACCGAGTTGACTGAACCAGTTATTTTGCTGGGATGCCAACAAAAACAAAAGCTAACTCTTTTCAAAAATAACTCCCCATTTAGGGGCTTCCCTCTTCTATCACCTAAAATCCTATTGTGTTTTTAATATCAAAATTGAAGCAACAATGTTCTTCCATGACAGATGGTCTGGCACTTGATGATATGATATGATGATAATGGCAATCACAGTGATGATACTGGATTTCTGAGAGAATAATTTTTATATAAATGTCTTCTTATTCAATATCAAAAGACACAAATACATGTATGTACAAAGGACTTGAATTCCTCCAAGTCAGAACAGCTAGAACTGTCTTCTCTGATTTAACAGAAGTTACACATTCCCTGATTTCTCTCTCTTGCCTGCTATCATCTGATCCTTTAAAAGTGAAGAGGAGCCCTTGGTTTACTTCTCGCCCATCAGTTCTAGGTAGCACTTAGATTGGGAGAATGGTTTACCCAGAATTATCAGTTGACCCAATTGTTAAGCCCACATTCTTAAACAAATAAGAAAGATGTCAAGAAAACTACTCCCTTAATATTTTGCCTAGCCCTTGCATGCCTGGCACAGCAGGCCTCGAAGAGCAGGAACCAAGCCCTTTTCATCTCTGAATAATCCAGCACTTGCCCAGCAGTCTCAACATTAAAGTCACAATGATCTCTTTGGCCTAGAACAAAACAGACCAACAATCCGGAAGACCAAACTTTTAAGGCAATGCAATTCCATTTGTGAACTCCGTCTAGAGTTTCCCAAAATGTGTTCTCAAAATTACTGGTCCTGAGAGATGCTTTTGAAGGAAATGTTCCACAGCCAAACACACTGGAATGTAGCATTTGTCCTTCTTAGTCCTCTAATTCTATCTGGACTTAACCAACCTGGCACTCTACTGTGAGATGCGTTTGGGAAATGCCGTATCAGAGTCCCTTTTTGATGATTTACAATACATATTAAAGACTCTAAAAAGCCCTACACTGAAGGAGCTTGTTTGTTTTAGCTTAAAGCAAACAAATTTGACCTCAGAACTCTTTCCTATTTAACACCATGGAATATGCGTGGGGAAAGGCTTTTCCAGAAAGGGAGACATCACATAGGATGAATTATAACACCATAGGGCAGTTCACAGACTCTCCAAAATCTCATGCTGTTACATGAAACACAAACAGACACAAAGGTGCCTCAGAGCTTATTAATCACAAAAGCTGTGCATAAAAAAGAATTTAAACATAAAAACATGAGATGGGAAGCAGAAATTTCAATATCTATGGAAAAATTATTGTAACTAACAAAAACGAATTTTAATTACTAACTGAAAAATCCTAATTGCCCTCCACTTGGATTCACACAGCATCTACTGAAATACACTCTCTAGTATGTTTATACTTCCAAGTTATAACACCACAAGTCAACCTCAAATGATTATTTCCTCTTTTAGTGTATATTTGACATTCTTTTTAGCCATTCAGATCTGAACCCCTTCTCTAATGCTGGAGAATGTTCTAGCTAAGAAGCCACAGGAGGCAAAGACCCTTCCCACTATCAAAGTTAAAAGTCAGACTCCCACTTCCCCAGCCTCCCTTGTAGCCAGGCTGCTGACCTATGACCCTGACTTAGATTAGTTGCTGATAACAAACACAAGCGAACTGCTCAAGACTCATCCTGGGAAGTGTACAGTAGCAGCAATGATAGCTGTATTAAATGATTTTTGAGGGGCTTATGCCAAAGTTCTAGGGGTGATCAAAGAACTTAGGCCTGGCCAATCAGCACATCTAATCATCCTGACCACAGAATTGTTTCAAGAATATGGAGGCACATATCCCAGTCAGTCCACTGACATTCAATCTGAAGATTTGGGTTAGAATTTTGGGGGAGAAGAAACTATCTCTTCAATAGAATTGCCAATCCAGAAGAATGCAAAACTGGACCTATTAGTGGCCATCCTATTATCAGATTACAGAACTGACCAAAAAGGGAGACCCAGGCTTAACAAACATTATCAACTGAACTTATGAAATCAGCACTAATGCTGAGCTTTTCAGCTACGTGAATAATGAGTTCCTTCTTTCATTTAGTAGTTCAGGCCAGATTGTAATGTATGATAGACCTGCCATAGACTTCCTCCTTGAAGGCCATGGTGGAGTCTGTGAGATAGCTAATACATCCTGTTGTACTGTATTACTGCCTCAGGTGAAGTACAGTAGCACTGAAATTTAAGAAGAAAACTACTGGCTTTGCAAAGTAGACCATGATGACTTATGGAATTTGTTCAGCTGATTGGGTCTGGTAGTCTGGGGAGGCATGGCTGAGGTCTATATTACAGATTGGTTTCATCATGCTGCTTGGGGTACCATTGATATGAACCTTAATGAAATGCCACATTAGACAAATTGAATGGATTTGGTCCCAGCCCCTGTCAGTCAGATTAATCGGAGTAACCGACAGAGTAGTATACTCAAAGGAAAACTCACCACAAGTCACCATAAGTCAAGAGTGTGTAGAAAGGGGTAGGTATTGCTGAAAGACAATTCCCCATGGATTCCTCTGTTTCTGTATGTGTTGGGGCAGCTTTTATTCTGGACTATTTTTTCAAATAAATTTGTATAGCAAACAGTTTGGAAGATAGAAATGCCATCTCCGTCTAGAGCAAAGGAAGTTCTATTTGCCCTCCAGGATAATATAGCTAACGTTTCCTCTGGTGCAAAGTTTGGGCAGATTTGCCAGCAGAGCCCTCATAAGTGAAAGTTCCCTGAACTCAGTATTCCTCAAATGTGACACAAATCTGTGTATCCAGCCATCTATCTGGGCCTACCTCCACATCATCCTCATGGGACTGGGGAATAAAAGGACCTACACAAACATAAAGCTTATACTGCCTGCTATGACATTTAAATATACAAAAGTTAATTGATTTTGTCCCAGGAGTTTCATGTCATAAACTTTTCATCTTACAGAAAAAAGAGACTCTCAGAACCTACACACTTTTTGACAATGACCTAGAATAATGACAGAGATATCACACTTGTGAGTTGAAAGTCCCAATATTTGTTCTCAAATTGATCTAAAGATTCAGTGCAATCCCAGTCAAAATCCCAGCAAGATTTTTCATAGAAACTGACAAGATGATACTCAAATATATGTGGAAGTATAAAATATTTAGAATAGCCAAAACAATCTTGTAAAATAACAAAGTTGGATGACTTATATACTATCTAACCTTAAGATTTATTATAATAATAATCAAGACATTGTGACAGCTATGTAAAATTAGACAAACAGATCAATGGAACAATGAAAGTCCAGAAACTACTCCACACATATATGGTCAAATGAATATTGACAGAGAAACCAATGTAATTCAGTGCAAAAAGAAGCCTTCTAAACAAATAGCATAGGATTTACTGGATATTCATATTTTAAAATTCACTGATTCATACCTCACACCATATCTAAAGACCTAAACAAGCTTTCTATAAGAAGATATAGACAAATATGTTTGCAACCTTGGGATAGGCAAAGGTTTCTTGGGGGAAAAAAAGTGTAAAAGAAACAAATCATTTTAAAAAATTGAAAAACTGAAACTTCATTAAAATTTAAAATTTCTGCTCATCAAAAGATATTGATAAAATTTAAATGCAAGCCACATATTGGAAAGAAATATTTGCAATGTACATATTTCTAATAAAGAACTTAGATCTATAATACAGAAAGAACTGCTATAAAACAGCAGTAAAAAGGCAATCAATTTCTTTAAAAGGTCAAAAGACTTCAATAGATGCTTTCACAAAGAGGACTTAGAAATGACCAATAAATGAAAAGATGTTCAACGTCATTAGTATCACAGAAATGGAAGTTAAAAACCACAATTAGATACCTCTGCACACTCACTAGAATTACCAAAATTAAACACCAATAAAAAAAAACCTCTAGAGAGAACACAGAGTATACTAGTGGAAGCTTAAAATGGCACAACCACTGTGGAAAACTGTTTGGCAAAGGTCTTATAATGTTAAACCTTCAACTACATTATTTAGCAATTCCACTCTTAGATATTTACTTCCCAAAATGAAAACATATGTTGACAAAAAGATCTGTGCAAAAATGTGTATTGCAGCTTTATTCATAGTATCACAAAATCGGAAACCACACAAACATCCATCAAATGGATAAGCAAATTGTGGTATAGTCATACAAGAAAACAAAAGAGCAAATCAATCATGCAAACAAAAATACTAATGAGTATCTACAGCATTATCTCAAATGAAAGAAGCCATACACAAAGGAATATATATAGTATGACCTCATTTACATAAAGTTTTAGTACAGGCAAAATTAATGTATGAAGCTAGAAATCCAAATAGTAGTTGCCTGAAGGGAATACAGAAATAGACTGGAAAGATTTCCATAAGAACTTGTTGGGGTGATGAAAACGTTCTATAACCTGATGTTTATTACATGGGTTTATACATTTGTCAAAACTTATCAAAATTTACTCTTAACTCTAATGAATTAATTGCATTTAATTTTCAACTCCAAAATTTTTTTAAAACTCCAAAAAAATTACAAAATATATTTTAAAACTGATTTGCCTACAGACTATTCAAGGTCTGACACCCAAATTAAATAGGTCGCATTTGAGATTATTTGCTCTGTTTCCACAGGTGTTGCAGCAGATATCCTCCTAGACTTTACTCAGCTACCAAAGTGACAATGCCAGGAAAACCATTAATCAAGGTTTGAGTGTGCCTATTCTCAATCAGAAGATGGAAACAAAGAACACCCTGGATTATAAAAGCAGGTGAAATGCATGCAAAAGCCTTACTCAGGAACAATGTTGGTGTTCTTGGTTCTTGTGACTGTGGCCCTATCATCTGCTCACCATTCTGGGGAGCACTTTGAAGGGTAAGTAAGCAACTCCTTAAATGGCCAAGTCCTTCCTTGCTTTCCCCAAATTCGAATGCACTACCGATTTTAAATTTTCTCTTCTGCCCTCACCATTCAGTGAGAAAGTGTTCCGTGTCAATATTGAAGATGAAAATCAAATCAGCATACTCCGTGAGTTGGCCAGCACCAAACAGGTATCTCACAATTCTATACTAATCCTTCCCACTTTCTTTAAAAGTTTAGAGTGCACTGTGATTCCATCAAAGGGAGAATGACATGAAATATTAACTATAAAATGTTTTTAGCAAGAGGAAAAAAACCTGAAAAACATTTAGTGCCACAGTCCCTTCTCTTTCTGCCATAGCCCTGGAGTATTGTAAATCCATGGTTACTTTTTAAAAGAGCTGACAGCGCCTGGCAACTGGATGAGCTGAAACTGTCACAAAGGTCATAGAACATCAAATGTACAGTTGCTTCCCTTCTAAGGCAAAAGAGAAAAATGATCAACTTGGATATTACTGAAAAACTGGGCTTCTGTCCAACTTGAAATTCATTTCCACATCCCATGTATCATCTGTTCTCTTTGATTTTCTTTCATTCCAAATCAAACAGCTTGAATTTTCATGGCCTTGATTCAGGCCCCCTTAATGATATGACATGATAGCAGGTGGGGGGAGGAAGAGGTAAAACTCAGAAGTAATTTTCATACTTTTCCTTTACTTTCAACAAACCAAAATCTTTACGGTACGTTTTTTTAAAATCCACTATATATGGGGTGAGAACTGATGTTTTTAATTATGTATGTAGGTGGCAGGAATCTATTGCTGATCACAAATAGTTCACTTGGGCCACTGCTGTTTCTCCATGAATACATAAACCAAAATAATTTACTAGCACCTAAATATCTGTCTATCTATCTTGATTTCTATAGTTATTTCTTTAGCTTTTAAGGTGTGAAGGAAAAAAGAAAGTAAAGAGTGTCATAATATGAAACAGATTCAGAAGCTTACAAATGAAAGAATACATAAAGTATTCTATTCCAGCCTTCCACTCAAATCTGGAATTTTGTCCATGGAAATAGTATCCCTGGTTGTAGCCCTAATATCATCTGTTTGACTACTTCTAGGGTAGTAAGAATACAGTTTTTTAGAGTAGCCCACTGGACTTAAAAGTCATTCTAATTGTTACATGGACCTGAAAGCTACCATCTCTAACCCTGACCCACTGGACCGACCTGAGCCAAATACTGCCTTACCTCTAAGATGTATCTTTTCCAGGCCTTCCATCATTATTACTCTTAGCACTGGGTTACAGTTGCTCTGATCATCTCAATATAGCCCAATATTTTTATTTATATTTCTTTTTTTGAAAGTAGTTCTCTGAATTGACATTAGACCTCCAGGGGTGCTCTGATTAATACATACTGCAGGACCACTGCCTATCTTCATTTGTAAAGCATACATTTATTAATGGGGCCTAAGATTCTTTTTTAGTGTTTTGAACAGTTATGGAATACTCTTAGCTCATAGTATACCTATTGTGAATCAAAACCATTAGGTGACTTTTTTTCTCACATGAATCACCTTCAAGCAACATATTCTTTCTTCTGTGCTTGTCTAAGTGATTTTTTAATCACAATGAAGGATTTTAGATTTACTCTATTAAAATTTATCTTGTTGGCCTATTTTCAGCATGTTGAGATGGTTTTAAAAACAAATTCAATAATCCAGGGATATAATTCTTCCCCCCAACTTTGCATCACAAGCATGTTTGATAAGCATGCCTTCTCAACTTTTATCTTTATCACTGATAAAGAAAAATATGGGCGTATCTTGGATATACTGCAGGTTCAGTTCCAGACCACCACAATAAAGCAAATACCATGATAAAGTAAGTCAAATGAAGTTTTTCATTTCCCAGTGCATATAATAAAACTTGTTTACACCATACTGCAGTAACAATGACATTATATCTAAAAAATGTACATAGTTAATTTAAAAATATTTTATTGCTAAAAAATGTTAGCCATCATCTGAGATTTCAGTGAGTCAGAATCTTTTTGCTGATAGAAAGTCTTGCTTGGATGTTGATGGCTGCTGACTGATTGGGGTTGTGGGTTGCTGGAGGCTGGGGGAGCAGTTTCTTAAAAGACAACACTGAAGTTTGCCACATCGATCAACTCTTCCTTTCACAATTTCTCTGTAGCATGGGATACTGGTTGGTAGCACTTTACCCACATAGACCTTCTTTCAAAATTGGCATCAGTCCTCTCAGACCCTGCTACTGCTTTATCAACTATGGTTTTGTAATATTCTAAACTCTTTATTGTCTTTTAAACCATCTTCACAGCATCTTTACCAGGAGTAGATGCCATACCAAGAAACCAATTTCTTTGCCCATCCATAATAAGCAACTCCTCATCCATTCAAGTTTTATCATGAGAATGAAGCAATTCAATCACGTATTCAGGCTCTACTTCTTTCTAATTCTAGTTTTCTTACTCTTTCCACCACTTCTGTAGTAACTTCCTCCACTGAAATCTTGAACCCCTCAGAGTCCCCCCTGAGGTTTGGAATCAACTTCTTTCAAACTCCCGTTCATGGTAATGTTTTGACTTCTGACCATGAATCAGACATGTTCTTAATGGCATCTAGAATGGTGAATCCTCTCCAGGTGTTCAGTTGACTTTGCCCAGATTCAGCAGAGGAAACACGATCTATGGCAGCTGCTGCCCAACAAAATGTCAGTTCTTAAATAATAAGACTTGAAAGTTTAAATTACTCCTTTGATCCATGCATGGAGCTGCAGAATGGATGTTGTGTTAGCAGCAGGCATGAAAACAGTATTAATCTCATTGCACATCTCCATCAGAGCTCTTGCATGACCAGGTGCATTGTCAATGAGCAATAATAATTTGTAAGGAATGTCATTTTACTGAGCAGTAGGTCTCAACAGTGGGCTTAAAGTATTCAGTGAACCATGTTGTAAATACATGTGGTGTTATCCAAGCTTTGTTATTCCATTTGTGGAGCACAGGCAGAGGAGACTGAGCATAATTCATCAGGGCCCTGGGATTTTTGGACTGGTAAATGAGCACTGGCTTCAACTTAAAGTCACCAGCCGCACTAGTCCCTGGCAAGCAAGAGTCAGCCTGTGCTTGGAAGTTTTGAAACCAGGCGCTGACTTGGCCTCTCCAGCTATGAGAGTCCTAGATGGCATCTTCTCCCAACAGAAGGCTGTTTCATCTACACTGAAAATCTGTTGTTGAGTGTATGGCCTTCATTAATGATCTGAGCTCCATCTTCTGGATAACTTGCTGCAGCTTCGACATCAGCACCTGCTGCTTTACCTGCACTTTTCTGTTATAGAGATGGCTTCTTTCCTAATGTTTTGACTTCTGACCATGAATCAGACATGTTCTTAATGGCATCTAGAATGGTGAATCCTCTCCAGGTGTTCAGTTGACTTTGCCCAGATTCAGCAGAGGAAACACGATCTATGGCAGCTGCTGCCCAACAAAATGTCAGTTCTTAAATAATAAGACTTGAAAGTTTAAATTACTCCTTTGATCCATGCATGGAGCTGCAGAATGGATGTTGTGTTAGCAGCAGGCATGAAAACAGTATTAATCTCATTGCACATCTCCATCAGAGCTCTTGCATGACCAGGTGCATTGTCAATGAGCAATAATAATTTGTAAGGAATGTCATTTTACTGAGCAGTAGGTCTCAACAGTGGGCTTAAAGTATTCAGTGAACCATGTTGTAAATACATGTGGTGTTATCCAAGCTTTGTTATTCCATTTGTGGAGCACAGGCAGAGGAGACTGAGCATAATTCATCAGGGCCCTGGGATTTTTGGACTGGTAAATGAGCACTGGCTTCAACTTAAAGTCACCAGCCGCACTAGTCCCTGGCAAGCAAGAGTCAGCCTGTGCTTGGAAGTTTTGAAACCAGGCGCTGACTTGGCCTCTCCAGCTATGAGAGTCCTAGATGGCATCTTCTCCCAACAGAAGGCTGTTTCATCTACACTGAAAATCTGTTGTTGAGTGTATGGCCTTCATTAATGATCTGAGCTCCATCTTCTGGATAACTTGCTGCAGCTTCGACATCAGCACCTGCTGCTTTACCTGCACTTTTCTGTTATAGAGATGGCTTCTTTCCTTAAAACTCATGAACCAACCTCTGCTAGTTCCAAATTTTTCTTCTGTAGCTGCCTCATCTATCTCAGCCTTCAGAGAATTGACAAAAGTAAGGGTCTTGCTCTGGATTAGGCTTTGGCTTCACAGAATGTTAAGACTAGTTTGCTCCTCTACCCAGAACACTGAGACTTCCTCCTTATCAGCAATAAGGCTATCATGCTTTCTTATTATTTGTGCACTCACTGGAACAGCATTGTTAATTTCCTTTGAGAACTTTTACTTTGCACACACAACTTCGCTAAGTGTTTGCACAAGAGGCATAGCTTTCAGCCTGCCTCGGCTTTACCATGCCTTCCTTACAAAGCTTAATCATTTCTAGTTTTTAATTTAAAAAGAGAGAGTATGACTCCTCCTCTCACTTGAACACTTAAGAGGCCACTGTAGAGTTATTAATTGTAAAATACTAGTATTAATATTTTTGTGTCTCAGGAAATAGAAAAGTCTGAGGTGAGGGAGAGCTGAGAGGACAGCGGGTGAGTGGGGCAGTCACAAAACATACATTTATCAATTAAGTTTGCTGTCTTATACAGGTACAGTTACTAGTGCCACAAAACAATTACAACAGTAGCACTGATCACAGGTCACCATAACAAATATAAGAGTAACAAAAATGGTGAAATATTGTGGGAATTACCAAAATATGACACAGAGACCTGAAGTGAGCAAATGCTGTTGGAAAATGGTGCCAACAGTCTCACTTACTGTAGCATTGCTACAAACTCTCAATTTGTAAAAAATGCAGTAACTATGAAACACAATAATGTGAAGTTCAATAAAATGAGGCATGCCTACGTTATGTAAGTCAGGGACAGCACAAAATTGGAGGCCTCCTTCATCATCATGTATTCAGTACACATTTATCATGAGTCTCACTGTGCCAGACATAGTGTTAACCAACTTTCTTTGGAAAAGTTTGCTCTACTATCCACATTACTGAGCTGTGACCTACAGCTAACACTGTGCTTTCCACCTTGTAAGGAATATGAATGCAGAGACATGGTCAAGTACTTTGCTTCGATCCAGACTCAGCATTCTACCAGGCTAGTGCTCTTTTTCAATAATGGCCTCTTTCAATAGTAAGATGAAGTTCATTGGGTCGGACTTACTCTTGCTTTAAACCATGCTGGCTCCCAGGAATCACAGCTTCCTTTCCTAGCATTCACAATCCATCTGCTTCTAGTTCATTCCACAGCTTTGCCAGAATCCATGCCAGGCCCCAAGAGCAACTGCTTCTGGGGTTCACCTGTTTTCCTGTGTAGGAGATCCAAGACATGCTCCCTCCACTCCTCGGTGTCTGTTCAAGCTCTGATTCCTCCAAGATTGCTGGGGAGGTTCTGCAACCACACCTGTAATATTTTTGTTATTTACCTTAAATTCAGTATTTAATGGTAGTCAAGAGGTGAAAATCTGGGCTCAGACTGCCAGGATACTTACTCATTGATCAAGTGAGGAGAATAATAGTATTTATCTTATAGGATTGTTGTGAGATTTAAAATAATATAAGTAAAACATTTACAAAGAATTTACATATTAAGAATTATATATGTTTGTTATTATTACCATCATTAGATCTGGGATTTTGAACACAGTTTAGTTAGTATAATTCCCCCTCTCTTCATCGATCTTGGGCTTCAATGTTCTCTTACCAAAGAAAGTATTTCTGCTAAAATCATAACATGAAAAATTCTTTGCTTACGGTAATTTCATCTCTCTCTAGAAATAGAACAAGAGAGAGTATAACTCCTTAGAAAAGACAAAAAACAAACAAGAGTTAATAGGGCTCTTTTTCTCTTCCAGCTGCAAACATCGTTCTTTAGCTCCCAAGCACTGGGTTGTATGTTTCTTCTTTACTCATTTTATTTCCAACAGGATTGAAGAATAGATTTTTATTCTCCTTAGCCATCTTCCAAGTGTAGTATATTCTGGACTGTAGCCTTCCTGATAAAATCCTTACAAGGGCATCTAGTCTTTGTATTCATCCTTGGCCATGTGCCCTTCCTCTCAGCTTTTGAACATGTCCTGTTAAAAGCTGAATGTATTAGAGAAATCTGTGACCACCCTGCACTCTAGCAACCTCCCCCTTTTCATCTGTAACTGTATAGTAAAGCTTTTATTGCCTTGCAATCAGGGTTGCACTTGTTCCTTTACACCATAAAATCTACTCTCTTTTCTCTGTACTTTTTGAACTGTTCCTCTAGTTTAAGGTGCATATTCATCTATGCTCAAAGTAACACGGTTAGTCTTCCAATGTTCCTGTCTCTCCCACTCTGCTTTAGGGAAGTAAGTTCTTCCCTGCCATCTGGAATTAGGCCTAGAGCAGAAGTGACTTCCCTTTCCAACAAGAAAGGAAAATTCCATCAAGATAAATGAAGAATCACGGTAAATTAAGATGTTTGAACTTTCAGTCAAATGCAATGTGAAGAAACAAATTTGTGTAAATTTGTGAAGAACCAAAGATCCCTAACACCAATATTTATTCTATTATATGACCATCTTATTCCTGAAATAATTTATGGTGGACACTCTACTTTATCTTGGTTTTGTGCTGGTTTTGTGACATACTTTAGGAAGAATTCTTTAGTTATTACCCAACTGATTGAGCTGCTATTGCCACAGTGCTATCAGTTAAAAGATATTCCCTTATCTTCCAACAAATGTTCTTTATGATTCTTTGGCACTCAGCTTTTTGTATTTATAATTTTATAACCTCAGTTTTGTCACTTCTTCACAAATAGTTTAATTTCCCACATCTCATATTATATATTTTATGCCATTTCCATATTTCAAATAAAGGTTTCATTGACAGGTCTTGCTAGTTACTGAAATTTATGTTTCTCTCCTGTGTTATTTTGAGTTTGAGTTTATTATTTAGTCCGAGTTTATTATCTACTTCGAGTCTATTATTTACATCTTTACTTGATGCATTGCTAAACATCTATGGGGCTATAGTACTGCTCCTATTTTTGGCTCCATTTCTCCTAAGAATGGAGAATAAGAATAACTCTAATATAAGAGTTTACACCATATTTGCAGGACTCCATAGCAATTTTTAAGGGACTTCAGGTCTGCAAGTCTTCTGTGAAATATATTTATGAGATTCTCTACTCCATTTTAAAGAATCCATCATTCTCAATGCAGAATCTTAAAGGTAACTCTCTTCTTTATTCTCCTCTTTCTTTACATATATATTTCCCCCAACATTTGGCAGAGCCAACACCAACAGCCAAGAGGTCAGGAGACTAGAGAGGGCAGCTTCCGACTTAATATCAGAAAGAAAACCACTCATACGGCAGTTAGGCTGTTCTAAAGTGGTACCACATATACTCAAGATTGTATCAGAATCATCAGCAAGGATATTGTGTGGGCATTTGTTGCTCTAAGTGGAAAGCTACATCTTAATATAGGTTCTTCCAGGGCAGAGCCGGAGACAAAGGTCCGAGGGCAAAAATTTCATTAAGGAAGTGCACTTATGAGTGGTGAGGAGGGATACAGAGAAGGGAAGGCAGCCGACAAAGGGACTGCTATTAAGCCGGCTATCACACAGGAGCCTACAGAGGAACTCTAGGAGAGGGGGCAAGTCACACGCATCAGAATTATCCCCCCAGAGAAGTGAGGGAACTGGAATATTAGACATCCACTTTCCAGGGTCATTGGTTAAACAGCTCTCTGGGAAGTTATTTCTTTGGCAACTCCTGCCTTCCATGAGCCTCTAGCTTGGTTTTATCCGGCTCTAGGAAAAACCCTTCCAGGGCAGAGATGCAGACCTGGCAGCGGAGAGTCCCAGCATCACGTATGAGCAGGGCACTGTCAGGTTGCCTGCGTATGCTTGGAGGACATGATGTGCTTTACTAGTCCTAAACTTCTGTGTCTATAATAAAGATACACCTCCCTCTCCCATCCCACCTTGAAATGACAAGCATTTGTTAGGAATACAATTTAGAGTTAACTTATAAAAATATGCCTTCCTGTACAATGTGCTTGTCTTGATTACCCTTCTCTTAACAATGTTGGCTAACCAGAATTCATCACGAGCCCCTTGTTTTCTCAGCCTTATCATAACAAGCCTTTACATTTCCTTTATATCTTAATCTCTCACCTTTATCCTCTCATCTTTGACTCCCCAGATCACACTCAGTAGCCAAACTTTATTAAATCATCAATACTCTCTTTCAACATCTTAGTGTCAACCCTACTCACACATTTTCTTCTTGAATCTCTCCTGATGGGATCCTAATTTCCCTCCCTCCCATTTCCCTGACATTCCCTACAATTCCACCTCATGACTGAGCACCCACTAGACATCTACAATGGTGTGAAGGTTACCAGGCAAGATACAGGCTATTGGATGCTCCATAGGCAGATGTGTCTAAAACTGGTCTTAATATCTTAACATTATCAATTTTCATTAAACAACTCTCTTTCAGGTTTCCAAACCCCAAATATCACTACCTGTCCCATTCTCCAGCCTGAGACTAGCTCATAAACATCTAAGCAGGGGTTGGGTGAGATACAGGGTCAGAGAGATCCTATGTTAGGCTCACCTCAGGCTTCTAGGCCTTTACTCAATTTAAGGAAGGAACAGGAAAATTGACACTTATGAGAGGCAGCATGTCCTTGGTTAATATTTTACCATGGAAAAAGGAGATTTGAAGTCACATATCCACAAAGAAAAACATGAGTTATCAAATATGTCATCCTGTTATTATTGTGCATAAGTTTCTCTAAAATGTCCCCATGAAGAGGGAAGCCATGTTCAATTTGCTCACTAGTATACTTCTAGTCTCAGGTACAGAGACTAGCACATAGTAGGTTCTCAGTAATAGTCAATGAATAATTGAACAAATGAAACTGTCAGTACATTACTGGATCTTCGAGACTATTTTGTTTCTGGCCATGGTACCAAGATGACCACTGTGGAAAGATACATTTCTCCTCCCTGATATATCCTCCACAGGTCAGGTATGCTCCTGGTCCCACACATTACCGTGACATGTGCAACACTGACTTACAAGTGAGCTCACAAAATAACTCCTTTAAAAAGTAAAAAGGAAAGCTCAGTGTCTCTCTATTAAATTTTGTGGCTCTAGTTAATTCATCGACATTTATTCAGCACATTTATCTGTTACAACAAATATCACTATCACAATAAGCAATTGCTCCAGAGAGTCAATATATAGAAAAAAACAGTTATGGAACGCCACAATTAACTAGTTTAATAATTATATGTTCTTTTTGCTTGTTGATAATCAATTAAAGCTATGTATTCATGTGCAAACATTTTTATTGACATCTAACCGCTTGGTCCCAACTCTTGTTCACTCCACGGAGATGTTTTTAAGAGATTTCATGGGTAACTTGAATTTGAAAATAATTCAAAGGAGAAAACTAATAGTGTACGTGCTGATGAGAATTCACTCTGAACTACAGGTGTTCAAAACAATATGTCTTGTTCTTTATTCAGATTGACTTCTGGAAACCAGATTCTGTCACACAAATAAAACCTCACAGTACAGTTGACTTCCGTGTTAAAGCAGAAGATATTTTGGCTGTGGAAGACTTTCTGGAACAGAATGAATTACAATATGAGTAAGTTTATGTTTTTCACAGCTATTAAAATTCTCTCACATGTATGCTCTCCTCTGAGCCTCTGAATAACCCTGGGAAGGTAAAAATAAGACCAAGACCCATGTCTTCCCCAGGATCCTACAAACAGATCATGGCAGAGCAGGCCCTGGGCTCCCAATCTTAAGACTTCAGGCCTGATAGTTACTGTGTTTAGTTATTCCCCTAATAAAAATGGTTTTGACTCTTCAATCTTGAATTCTCAAATCTTCAGCCAGATACCTGCCCTGCTACTACTGGTTTACAACTGATATACAGACTACAGGTCATACTAACAGACCCTCTATTATCAGCAAGACATAGTTTTAGTTCCAAATTGTACCAAGTCTTCTTTCCAGGTGAGTAGCCAGACCTACTGTCAGCCATGAGGGTTCTCCACGCTCCTTTAGTCTAAGGACCAGATGAGACAGACTGAGTGGTCCTTCTACCCTTTCCAGGTGCCACACTGTCTCCAACGGTAGAAGGCATGGAGGCAGGCCTGAAACAGTCACCCCAAATGTCCTTTCCCCGAATGCCACATGGGCCCATCTAAGTCTTTTAAGATGAGAATGCCCTCCTAAGTGGGGGCAGTTGTCCCTTTGTTGATCCAACACATAAATAGTAAGTGCCTACATATTCTAAGTACTGAAAAAGATATATATATATATGGCTCTACCCCATGCAGAGGAAAACAGACTTGAAACAAAAGAACTGCAATAACCCTGGGAAGGTAAAAATAAGACCAAGACCCATGTCTTCCCCAGGATCCTACAAACAGAAGTCAACAAGAGTAAAGAGATGGAGATGTTGGGGAATAGACAAGTCAAGGGAGTAGAGAGGGCTGCACTTAGAAACGAGGCTTCAGCTGAAAACTGAAAGATGAGTAGGTGCTAGCCAAAGACAAGGACAAGTAATGCTCTAGGCAGAGAAAAGAATATATGCTGAGGCTTAGAAATGGAAGAGACTGTGTTGACCTGGAGTCATTTGCACTAGAAGGAAGGAGGAAATGAGGTCTTTAGTCTAAAGCAGAGTTCTTCCTCCAGGGTGTGGATCAGTGAGGAGCAAAGACAGTTATGGGCTCTAGTTCTGAACATTTGACCATTCATCCAACAATCCCCTACCACAAGCTCAAGTGTTCATTCTATTTTGAGTAAATGTGGCCTATGTAATTTTTAACAGACATTTTCTCTTGTTTTTCAAATCTTAAAAATATATAATATTTATGCCTATGAAGATACCAGAATTGTCACCTATAAAATCTGTACCTCCATCAGGAGAAGTGGAGCAGCACAATGTAACAAGTAAATGCTTTGGGAAAAACAGATCGAATTCAAATCCTGGCTCTGCAGCTTCCTGGCTGTGTGACCTTGGATAATTTGCTTAATCTTTCTGAGCTTCAGTTTCCTTATCCACATTATGAAGATATAATGCCTCTCTCAAAGGGCCATTATGAAGATGAAATAAAATAGATAAATAAATTGGAACTGGTATCATTATTGCTGTCATGCTGCTATGGTTTACTCTTGTACAGAGGGAGATGATATTTTTTAAAGGTCAACAGAAACTGTTTTATTTAACCCCATTACCATGCTTCACCCAGCTTAGTTATCTGCTCCTGCCTAAGGGAAGTGTCAAAATGTGACCTTAAGAACTGACCATCTTTTTAAAACAAAGATATAGCACAGTAGGTATCAAAATATGATTAAGATTCATGCCTATGATATTTTCTCTTCTAATTACACAAGGAAGAACTTCTAAAATCCTAGCCTTTAGGAGCCTTCAAGAATATTCAGAAAAGATGAGTTTCTTTATAACTCTTTAAGAAAAACAAAAGGAAAATCAGCCACCATAAGCTAACCCTAGACACCTGAATGATGTCCCTATTCTACCCATATCACACAGCTGGGAAGTGGTTTCCAATAGCATGCCAGTCTCCTCCATCAGGGGTGAAATTCATGTCCTTTTTTAGTGGATGCACTTTCTGGGAATTGGTGTATGAATGTTGTCTTATCTAGAACATAGGATGTTCCCTGAAGGCTAAACTCCTGTTAATTTTTGCTTCTCTGTTCACTGTTCAGCACATTTATAGCATATAATTCTCTAAATATTAAGTAATAATAAGTCCCTAGAAATCCTGGAGAAATACACCAGCAATGTCCTTGCTGGGGCTGCAAGCAGTCCCTGTGCATCCTATTATTACCTCATATGGTAACTAATTTGTATTTAGACAGTTTCCTGCTGGCAAGACTTTGCAGTTGTGTTTCTGTATAACAGAAACCGTCTACTGCACAAGTTCCACCAAAATAGCTTTTCAGATTTTTCAGTGGTTTCACCCCTCTTCACCAAGACTTGTATCTCTTCGGCAGCTTTAGTCAGGTTATGAATGACCAGGGGAAAAAATTCAAACTGTGTGCACCAAAAAAATATATATATATATTTCTGAATACTTACGTTGCACCCATTGGTACAGAAAATAGGAATTGGATGGTGTAAATCTACAACTAATGGTTCTGAAGCCAAGTTAACAGAACATTTTGGGGGTGGCCCTTCATAGAACATCCCCCTACAAATTGAGGATACAATTCAAAGAGAGACTGACTGTTGCTAACTGCTTATAAAATCATATTCCTGCATATTTCAGATTTACACAAGAGAGTATCTTTGGATAGTAGTGGGTACATAGTAGTGTTCTTCAATAGCAATGCCCACACATTCCAGGAGCTCATTAAATACTCCTTTTTCAAGAATCTGAAAGGGGGAGAAAATTGCGTCACATCTCTCCTTCTAAGACATTAGGTCCCTTACTTTGTTGTGAGTCCCTGTTTTCTAATTTGCCTGTATATTCTTTAAAAAAAGAAGTTGAATAGCATTATAAAAGGAGCATATAAAAGTATAAAATAGTGTACGTGCCTCTGTATTTTGGAGCTGTAATGCAGTCCCTATTACATTAAGAGGCATTGTTTTAATCTCCTAGAATAGAAGCTCATTATTTAGTAATAATATCTGGTAATATAGCTAAAACAGTGCTTTGTCTTAAATCTAATAACACCAAATAATCATAGGGCTGGAAGGATCATTTGAGGTCAATATACCGCCTTCAGGCAAAAGTCAACACCACATTTCAACCTCACTCTGATGCTCTTTCACCAAGCTACTATAGAATTACTCCTGGGTGTCATCTTAAATTTAACTGTTTTTTAATGTTTCTTTGTCCTGGTTATTGATGAAAATGTTTAATATTTAACATAGTAATAACTCTAACAGAATATTTCTTCTTAGTGCCAAACAAAACACTAGCCCCCACATAGCCACTGATTCTCCAAAATAATTTGAATTTGAGGATTGTAAGCAGTAGAAAGGATAGCAATATGGTATGGAAGCTCTGCTACCTACGCCTTCCCTTCAGAGCTGGTTCCTGATAGACCAGAGATGGCCATGATTACCGTCTTAGGTATAAATACCTAGTGAAAGTCTTATGGCTGTGGGATGCCTGGGAGCATTTAGCTGATGATTTATTTTCTCTGAGCACCCACTAAGAAGCCATGTGGCCTAGATGTACTTGCTCGCTGACAGTCTTGTTAAATCTTGTTAAAGTGTAAGTCAATGTCATTTACCATGTCTGCTTGGATTTTTTGTTTTGTCATTCAGTCAGAGCCATTCGTCTTTATTAGACAGAGTTTGTTCTTTTGAATTGATGATCTTACAATATATGGTCTTCTTAAAGGTTTCTGCCCATTGATTTTTTTCTGTTCTCAAGGTTTTTGTTTTGCTTGGGTTTTATTTGTTTTTAGTTTTTGGTTGTATTTGAAAACCATTTTTCTAAACCATCTCTATTCTAGGTGTTTTCCTAGTGTTTATGAAAGTAGTAACTGGCAACTTCACTATAGCTGTTCTTTTGTTGTTCTGTTTTGTTTCATAAACTTTGGAAAACATCTCTGCAAATGACAGATGTCTGTGGATTTGAGTTAACAGTCACTGCATCCTGAAACTAAAAAGGATATGAATACCAGCTAATACAATGCCCCATTCTAAAAATCATGAAACTAAGGCCCATACACTAAATGACTTTTCTGAAGCCAGTTCACAAGTTAGGCAAAACTATGACTTTCATCTTTTTATTTCTAATTCTGGGTTATTTATTTTTGTTCCCAAACAATCCAATTTTGATACTGCATATAATTAACAGCACTTACTATTAGCATTGTTCTTATCTGTAGCAGGCAGAATGATGGGCCACCCAAAGTGTCTACATCCTAATCCCCAGGAAATCTGCATAGGTTATATCATATGGCCGAGGAGTTAGGGTTGTACCGGAATTAAGGTCACTAAGCAGCTGTACTTAAAATAGGTAGATTTTCCTGCATTGTGCAGATAAGCCCAATGTAACCACACAGGGTCCTTATGAAAGGGAGGCAGAAGAAGAGGCCAGAGTGATGCGCTATGAGAAGGATTTGAACTGCTGTCGCTGGCTTTGACAATGGAGGAGGACGGCAGTGAGATAAGACGTGGGCAGCCTCTAAGAACTGGAGAGAGCAAGGAGTCAGATTCTCTCCTAGAGCTTCCAGAAAGTACCACGTCCCTGTTGACACCTTGATTTTAGCCCAGTGAGACCATGTTGGACTTCAAACCTACAGAAGTGTAAGATAATAAATTCATGTTGGTTTATGCCACCTCATTTGCTGTAATTTATAGCGGCTACAGAAACCAATGCATTAACAAAGCACAGAAGGCTGCTCAAGGGGAAATTTTCTTTCCACAGAACAAACTTTTAGATCTGCTCCTTTTCCTTTTTTTCTTTTTAATACTACCTTGAGACAGTATTTGCTTCTTACTAAGAAACACATATCACTTAGCATTAATTTATTGCATTTTCCAGAAACAGACACAAGTTTATGCCCAAGTTAACCAAATGAACAGAGACCAGGAGGAAGGCTCAGAGGATGTCCCTGACATACTTCATCAAATGCCCTTGGAACAGCCGGAGGAGAAGCAGACTTTTGATGTGTGGCTGCAATTTTGAGTGCATCAGATAAAAGCATTTCAAGGCTTGACTATGGATAATAGAAGCATCGGCAAACTAGCCTCTGTCTGTAATATTCACAGTGCTAGGATCAAGGACATTAATGCTCATAAAATTATGCCTGCTCACAATACACTTTCTACTCAAAGGTAGCAAAGAGAAACCAAGTCACACACACTCACACCTTCAGGCCCGCCTCTTTACAACAGGAACTTTTCACCTGAATGATCACTTATAAAGATAAGGTTTGTCATCAGTTTTGTCATCAGTTTTCATATTACCTTGCTGCAGAACCATTCTTAGATTACTTTAAACCAGACAAAAGACAGTCAAACAGAAACTAGTTCTTAAAACCTAATATTCTTTTGTCTAATAAATCTTTAGCTTGTCACTATTTCTGAGTTTCTGCTCATCAATATTTTTTTCTTAGAACCTAGAGAAAGGTTTCAGGTGACCAAGTATCTCAGTTACCTGGGACTGAGTAGGTTCCTGGCACATGGGACTTTTAGTGCTAAAACCAGGAGAGTCTGAAGGAGAAAACAGCATAAATCGGGCTCAAGTGCAAACTTCTGTGTGGCAGCCCAAGGCCCTGACCCAGAATGCCCCAGGAACCAGGAGAAACCGTGCTCCAAGTTTAGTGTCCAAATGTGGTCCAAGAACATCCACATATGTGAAGTTTAGAAGAGCCTGCCTTTCTCACACTCTTTAGTGTCCTTCTCATTGATTTACTCACTCTTCATGAAAAGCAGGTCAGGTTGAAGGGCATCAGGAATAATCAGAAGACACCTAGGACTCCATGGAGAATGCACCGCATCATCCACAAAAGCAGTGACTCTGGGTTTTGCATATATTCCCTGAGAAATACACTTTATGTTCACAAGAGTTCACCCTTTGCTTTATTGCAGGGTATTGATAAGCAACCTGAGATCTGTGCTGGAGGCTCAGTTTGACAGCCAGGTCCGTGCTACTGGACACAATTACAAGAAGTACAACAACTGGGAAACGGTATGATGGACACACAATTTAGACAGACATTGCTTATTGCACTGCGAATGTCACATTAATCCACAAATGGTTTCATTTGGTAGATAGAAGCTTGGACTGAACAGGTCACCAGTGAGAATCCAGACCTCATCTCTCGCAGCACCATTGGAACCACATTTGAAGGACGCACTATGTACCTCCTCAAGGTAATCATTTTTAACCAGGACCTTGCCATGTCTGAGGGCTTTAAATCAATGAATTCTAACACATTAACATCTGTTTCACAGACATGCTCATCCAAACACTGGTATAACTTTCCCTGCCTATATCACCCAGGGAATCAAACATATTCCCCAGCTTCTTTTATCCGATGTGGATTTTTAAATCATTATTTTGATTTATTCAAAGGGAAAAATGCAATAAAATAAGAGAAGTCATATAAATTTAGTCACATTCCTGTAAGCAATGTAAATGATTATCTTACCTTGATGAAATTCTTCTCTCCCAGATGTTGTTTGCAAATTTATTTGCTAAAGAGGTTCATAAACTTCATGTCTATCAGACAATATTACAAAGTGTATACAACAATTTGTTTCTGTCATCCTCTAATGCCGTTTTGTCATGTAATTCTAATGATGAAAATAAAAAGATGAGGAATAAGAGAGAGAGAAGGAAAAATTCTTACAAGACGGCAACAATCATGACTTCTAATTACTCATCCAGTTGTCTTGGTCATGTCACCTAATAATAGCAGCTGAAAATAACCTCCACGTGAGTACAATTAAGCAGGGTAATCAGCATCTTCTGAAAATATGAGCTTGTCAAGCTTTATAAAAATAATAAACAGCCATGTAAGCCTTCAGCTCAAACACTGTGTCTGGAGGCAAGAACATACAGTACTAGTATTATGCTTCAATTTAATCATAGGATGTATCTCTTGCTGCTGTCAAGTTTCACCTGTTGAATCCAAAGCCCAGACAGAGAATGTTAACCTCTGAACGTGATGGTCACAGTTTCTCTTTTCCTGTTGTTTGCAATAGGTTGGCAAAGCTGGACTAAATAAGCCTGCCATTTTCATGGACTGTGGTTTCCATGCCAGAGAGTGGATTTCCCCTGCGTTTTGCCAATGGTTTGTGAGAGAGGTCAGTAAATAGAATGATTTTTGGCAGGTGGAAGTATAGGGTTATTTTTTTTTATTTCAATCAATTCCTTATAACCTTGCTATAATAAAGGAATTATAACACAGAAAAATATCCTAATTCCAAGTTCCCTTATTTGGGTACTAGTTTCAACTTTCACCAGGAGACCTTGAGAGGGCCAGATTTTTAAACAGTTAGAAAATTGTGTTCATTTGAATTTCACTCATCTGAACTTTCTTACCCACCTTTGGTGGAGAGCCCAACAGATAGTATAGCAGACAGACCACTTAAAAGTTAGTGATTGTGAATAAACCACTAACTTGATCATTAGTCCCTGGATAATAATCATTGTATATTTCAGGAAAAAAAAAATTACAGAGCAGTCCCTACTCTAAATGATGGTATTTTCATTCTTTATAATTCTAATGATAAGAAATATATGAAAACCCTTTAACTAAAAGTTTTTAAATATCAATGAGCCCATGTTTATATAAATAGATGATTCAATAAATAAAAGGGAGAGAAGGAACTCTTTCTTAAAGAAGAATTATAACTAATGGGTATACAAAAATATGAGTGAAATAGAATATCACCATTATAACACCACAGTTATAATCATTTCATTTGCCATAGGAAAACCCTCAGATAGAAGCAAAACTTCATGGGTAAAAGTTTAAAAAGAAATAGATATTTGCAGTCTCAAAGTACCTCCCCAAAAATACAAAGGCATAATTTATAGTGCAGAAACCTAGTAGAAACTTGTTAACCAAGTGACCAAGTTAGCATCACTAGTATAAGACATAATCAGTGCCATGTAAACTCTGATATTATGTACTGAAGAGACACATCAGCTTTCTGGTATTCTTCCCCAAAATGTATAACCTCCCTCTAATGAAAAAAAAAATCAGACAAACTGAAATTGAGAGGCCTTCTGCAAAGAAACCAGACGAGTACTCTTCAACAGTGTCAAAGTCATAACCAACAGGGAAGCATGAGGAACTGTCACACATCAGAGGAGACTAAGGCAATGCGACAACCAAATGCAGTGTGGGATCAAGCCAAAGGACATTAGTGGAAAAACTAGTGAAATCTGAATAAAACCTATAGTTTAGTTTATAGTGTTGTACCAGTGCTAATTTCTTCACTTTGGACATTGAACATTTGCTATGTAAAATAGTAACACTAGGGGAAGCTGAGTGAAGAGATATGGAAATTCCCTATATTTGCAACTCTTTGGCAAGTCTAAAACTATTTCAAAATTGAAAGTATAAAATATTAAAGTGTTTTAAAAATATAAGAATATTATTACATACAATAGAATTTCTTTTGTGTGAAACACTTCTGTATCTACTGACTATGATCTATTTATTATGATACATTCAGACATGTTATGTATCCAATTGGCACCATTTAACTTCATTGGCATCCTCACCATCCGACATCTACAAGGAATGAACTTTGTTATTTATATATACAACTTTATATATACAAGGAATCACCTTGGTTATCTCCAATTACAGACCACTAAAAGAATATGGTTCTATAGTTCCCCCAACCTAAAAAAGCACATACCTATCACGTGTTATTATAATGAATATACATGTATTATCACAAATCATATATAAAAACTATGAGTACCTAGAAGCCTCAAATATTTTCAAGTCTATTCAAGCAAGCCTGGGGAAGAGTTGAATTTAAGTTTCATGTGATTGTGGGTCTGAGAGACTGTGACTAAGAGAACACAATAAATGAGCATGAGGTCCTTCAGGCATAGAGAAGTATCTGCATTACTTAGGGGGAAGACCAAGTCCCTTAACAGGGTTCCCTTCTCCAGAGAGAAGAATAAGAAGGGGAGTTCCATCATCATGCAGGTTGGACCCTGGTGAGAGCTCCCCCGCCCCCACTAGTGTGAGCTTACTTCCTAATGGGAGGCTGTCTCATTCTCCTTTCATACTGGGCACTCCCTCAGGTGAGGTCATCTACGGGAGGTTTCAAAAAATTGAATAAATTTTTAGATGATATTATTAGGAACATGCATAGTCATCCATAGACATTCTGTACTAGGAATAGGTATTACATTCATGTATACTAACTTTAAGGTATTATGTTACAATTTCAAAGTAAATAAGTATATATGTACTTGAAAAGTCTTTAATTTTTAAATCTTTGTTCATCTTTAAAAAATGAAAATGAAAAATAGTAATTATGTAAGTTATATATGAATGAAATAGAGTATCCTGGAAACAGAAAAAAATTAGAAACAACTATTTTAAACAAAACTATCAGAAACATTTTGTTAATTGCTTTTTAAATATTAATATCTACCTCAATAGGGGACATGGTTTTTGTTCCCAAAGTCAACATTTATCCAGTCTATATAAACTTTAGCAGCATCACGCATTCCATTTTTCCATGAAATTCTCTTCACAATTTGTACACAGGCTGTTCGCACCTATGGACATGAAATCCACATGACAGAACTTCTCGACAAGTTAGACTTTTATGTCTTGCCTGTGGTCAATATTGATGGCTATGTCTACACCTGGACCAAGGTATATGAACCAACATTGAGGGGGGCTGATGAAACCACTTTAAAATGGTTTAAAACCAACCACTTTTTATTATACTTGTCCTAACCATGTAATCTATTTTCAGAACCGAATGTGGAGGAAGACCCGCTCTACCCATGCTGGAAGTACCTGCATCGGCACAGACCCTAACAGAAATTTTGATGCTGGCTGGTGCTGTAAGTATCTGGCTGACAATTTTGCACGCATCTATTGAAAGCATAGGAGGAAACATAACAGGAAAATACAACAGTGTCTAAGACAAGGAAAAGTTTAAAATTTTGTATTTTAGAGTTCCAACTTTCTGAAAGCACAGACAATAAACAGTTAATTTATTCAATCAATTTTGTGTTCTGAGCTGTGCTAGATGCTGAAAACATAAAACTAAACAAAGCAGACATAATCCTACTACTTGTGAAATGTACAGTCTAGAGGAGAAAGTTATTAAATAATTATTTAATTAAAATTGTGATATAATTATAATTTTGTGATTCAAAACTCTCAGAAAATGATGAAGTAACATGGAAATTTCTCATGGATATTAGTTTGTCCTCTACTTATTAATTTTCTTACACTATATTGATCTCATTGTATACTACTACACAGGGACATATTGGTGATTCCACACACAACTTTCTACCCTATTAGTTTAAACTTACAACCCTAATCTTATGAATAAATGTATATACATCTGTTATAATGTATACCTACATAAGGACAATTATAAGGACTGTCTGAAAACAACTTATTTTTAACTCTCCAAGAAAGTTTGAAACACACCTGTGAGAATTTCAGTAGATGATCATTTGCCATTAATAACAATATAAGCTTTTTTTCAGCAATTGGAGCCTCTGAAAACCCCTGTGATGAGACTTACTGTGGACCTACTGCAGAGTCTGAAAAAGAAACCAAGGCCCTGGCTGATTTCATCCGCAACAACCTCTCTTCCATCAAAGCCTACCTAACAATCCACTCCTACTCCCAGATGATGCTCTACCCTTACTCCTATGCTTACAAACTCGGAGAAAACAATGTTGAGTTGGTAAGTAGTCATGGTAGTAGATATTGTATTTCATGGTTGAAATTTTTAAAATTCTATTCCTGAAGAAAAATGATCAGAACAATTTCTGGAAGTCCCATGATTGATTTTTGGTAGTAGAAGCAAAAATCTTACTGCAGATTTACAAGGAATCTGAAGTTGGCTAGATGAATTAGCTAAAAGAAATGTATTTTGATGCAGGCAACAATCTCAACATGTGGCATCCTCACTAATCTTAAAAATGTCAATAGTTCCACTTCCTCTTGCTTCACCACAATACTAACTCACATGATGATTTCACGTGCATCTAGAATAATCAACAAAGTTCCTTGATCTCATACATAATCGAAAAGTCAATGTTGTCAAATTGCCCTGAGCAAGATTTGACATAGGCAGAGCATAGCAGGTATCATTAGGAATTTGGCACATTTGGCTGATACTAGGTTAAGTAATGAGATCCTAAAATTGCTTATTTCACTTTTTGAACAGGTGAGATACAAAAGTCAATCAATCAATGAACAAACGATGTAAATGGGTCCTTACTAGATACAGAAAATAATGCAAAGAAATGTTATAAATACCCCTGACTCTAACAACTAGCAATTTTGTTGGAGAATTGAGATATGACCACATGAACATTTAAGTAATGTAAGAGTTTTATAACATTCACATTAACAAATATCATACATCAATGCATAAATTTTTTAAATAAGCAGGTTTGAATCCTTCAAACAATATTTCTTTTAATTTATGAAACATCTGGCTGCCAAAAGTTGGACCAATCATCTAAAAAGAACATGCCTAAGATTTAAAGCATTTGGGTTATGCCAAAAAAAACTTATTGCACTTAGACAATGACACAGATATTTGACTTCCCTAAATGCATTAATTTGGAGACCCAGTAACTTTAATAACTGGTCATTGTTGTTTTGTACTTTTAAATTCAGTCTCTCAGAGACCAACTAAAACACGTAATGCTGTAAATATTTTGTGAAGAGCAAAATGGAAAAATAACTCAGCCTCTTAGAATTGATGGCCAATAGTTGGCCAAGACCTTTTCTTTAAAAAAAAAAAAAATTATTTTTCAAAAACCTTCCCATTTTCCTTACCCGTAGCCAAAAACAAAGGAAAACATCATCAGTTGGAACCATTAAATATTTCAGTTTTCCAGCTATGCTTGATCTGTAAGTGTTCCCAGGTGCTCACAGGCCTGCTGTCCCAGAGATAGGTGTGGTCAGCTCCTAATTCTAGTCCTAGATTTCTGGTCACCAGAGGAGAGGAGGTGGGGGTATGCTGTTTGCTTAATTCATGTGAATATGTTTAAACTGTACTGTATCATAAGAGAAAATGACAAAGTCATGATAGTTAGCACTATTAGTTAATGAGTAAAATACTAAAATTAAAATTATAAACCAGAGTAAGTATAAAAGTAACCAATATACCCAGTTTGCTCAATAGCAACTAGTTTTAAATACAAATTCTAAAAAACAAATGCAAGAGAAAAGCTTTAAAAGTGTTCTTTGCAAATGTGCTGCTTCACAAAGTTTTAATACTTTTCCTTATTTTGGAAATGAGCTTAAGCACTTTTAGCAATGAAAGCTTTATAGCCCAGCTGGCTCCATACAATAATAATGTACCATTAGGCTACTCTAAAGTCTATGAATTATCCTTTTTAAAAAAGAATCAAATAAATTCTCTTTAGAATCTCATGAATAATTTTTGCTATTTCCTATGGAAAAAACCCAACAGTCAGAGTTAGTGGGGTTAGTGGGCCAACTCACATGTGCCCCAAGCGGTATGAAAGCATTCCAGCAAAATGTGAGCCACTGAAACTCTTCTCTAAGAAGCACTTCTTCATTTAAAATCAAAGAAAGAGAGATACTAGTAAAAGAGATATTAGAAATTATGTCCTCCAAAATTGTTCTTAAATTCTAATTAACAAAGAAGTGAAATAAGCAATTATATTGAAGTAAGCCATTCATAATCTATTTTCAAAAAAGGTACAAATCACAAAATAATCTTATCTTGGATGTTTATTTTTATAATGACAAAACTAATAAATTCAAGGAAATGTACATGTTACTTATCTTTTCCATAGCATGATAAGACAAGGTGACTACAGTGCAGAAAAACTGAATTGCACTTACATCACATGCATTGATTTTAAAGTTACCTTTATTTACAATTATTTTTTTCTATATTGAACTACTACCTAGTATCTTCAAATAAATATTTAAATCACACTAGTAAAATCAAAGGTGGATGTTATTTGATTATGTGATTCATTCAGGATCTGAATCTCACTTGGCACCCCAAAGCAACTTAAATCTTTTTAATGACTAGAGATCCTTTCAATTGTTTCCTTATTTTGTATTATTCCAATTCACTTACTTCCTAAGCACATTTTACTAAAACTAATAATGTTATAATAAACCTATGTATAGCCAAAAGAAAATTTGAGTCTCCCAAAAAGAAAAATATTGGCTTTTTCATGGTTTCTATATGTAATATCAAGGGGAAAAAGTAAAAGTCCTGAGCTGGAAAGATGAATGTTCCATCCAAATCTAGTGCCTCCATATTAATCCTCAGTTAGAAAATGTGACCCCACTGTAGAAAAACAAAGGTAGGAAAAGATTAATGAGTTCTTGGCTTACCATCTTATATGTAACTCAGAATTTCCTGAAGGGAATGCAAAGCAGACTTCATCCTGCACAGAATTCAGCTTGGAGAGATAGATAGATAGATAGATAGATTCTATCTATCTATCTATCTATCTATCTATCTATCTATCTATCTATCTATGATAGATAGATAGATAGATAGATAGATAGATATAGATAGATGATTCTAATTTTCTTTATACTTATAAAACTTGTAAGATCATATTTATAGCCAAAAAAGTGCTTCAAAAAGAATAAAACTGAAGGAAATTACTCTGTACTTACATTAGCAGTCTCAGCCCAAATTTAGGCATGTCATAAGTAGAAATCTTTTGATATCTGAGTCATAAAAATTTATGTAGCTTCATTTCTGAAAGATCTTACAGGTAGATTACCTGACAAGTATTCATATCATGAAACAACATTCAGAGGGAGGAAAGACAGAGTTGGGAATGCAAAAAAACAATAAAATGAAAGAATAAGAGAAGCAATAGCATGGATTATGAAGAAGGCTACCCAAATATGTATCTTCATCAGATCAGTAAAAAATATTTAGAATCATAAAAGTATCTCACATACATAATGCTTTCCAGTTTGCAAATAGCTTTTACACATACTATATTATTTAAAGAAAGAATGCAAAATGTCCTGTGAGTTTCCAATAGCTCATAAACTGTCCAGTTCCTCCGTGTTAATTTCTTCAATATAAAACTATCATTTATCTTCAAAGGAAGTTTTAAGGCCCAGAAAAAATATATACTTATATTTCCAAAATTCTAAAGGATAATGAAATACTGAATTATAAGACCTATTTATTGTTAGAAAAAATAAAAACTAGGAGATACAATTGAAAAGGCTCCCAAATCTACCCATATTTTTGCATTTATTGAGCATGGAGAAGCTCCCAATCTTTGGTCCACCTTTCCCCCAGAGAGGCCTACATGGCATTGGTAATAACAAAAATTATTATTATAATACCACTTCTAAATTAAAAAGCAAGAACCCAGAATAATATCTGGCAACTAAGTATCCTAACCCATTCTCCAGATTTACCAAATAGAAAGCTTATATGCACTACACAAAGGTGCAGATTCAGGACATGTGTCTAACATCACATTTCTACATTAGAAGCACAGAATTTTATATCTGGAAATCTTAGATTTCTCTAGTTCTGCTTTCTCCTTTTCCAGTTGCGACAATGAAGGCTTGGCTAGCCAACACCAGTAGTAGACACAGCCTTGGGACACAGACACAGTAGACACAGAATTTCCTAGGCTGTCCCAATTTCCAAAGACACACACACATATTTGTGTGGCCGTGTTCTATGTTGTTACCCCATGTAGCTGTTCTGCAGAAGAGCAATCATCAAATAAAGTCTTTCACCTTGCAAATACATTATTATTACTCTGTCCCTGGACATTGCTAAGATTTATACTGTCCAGCTAAGATGCCTGACTTCTCAGGGCTAAGTCCTTATGATTCTGACCCATATTTTTATGCCTATATATAAACCAGGAGAAAAATGACAGTCTTTATGAAAAATTAAATTTGACCAAAAGACAGAAATCCATTTCTAAAGTCTAACACCTTCCAGTCCAGTGTCACCTCACCACCTCTTAATTAAAGTTTTAGATAGTGAGTCACCAAGATAGAAATCTGCTGCTCCACCCAAGCATGTGAGCATAAAGCAACACCATGATTAGAGATAAACATAAAAATCAGAGTGAAGAAACGTAATTAGGAGGAGGACAATTGCAGGGCCATGTGCTCACCCAGTCACAGCTGTCGCCATGTCCCTGCTGAATAACAAGAGTAATAAGGCCACAGTCCTGCTGTCAGGCAGGTTACCAGAAGCTACGGCATAAACATTCACTTCACGAATTTTCTCAGAATTTCTAATCTCACTTATAAAACAAAATATTTTTAAATGATAGTTGCAGAATTTCTTTGATCGGAGAAACCAGTTACTACTTATTTACCATTATATATTTTAAGTGACTTCTTGGCCTGTTAAAATGCTACAGGGCCTGGTCAGGATATGGCTTATCAGGCAACTACAAGAAATTTCACTGAGCACCTTATTAAGTGCTCAGCATAAATCATGGTTACTGCCATTGAGAAGATAGGATTCTATTGAAATGGTAGGACTTGAATATCAGAAACCATGCAAGAGAAGCACAGAATTGGGAATTTCCTAATAGGCACTGCAGTAGGAATTCAAGGCAGGCAATGTGTGATGAAGTTATTCAATGAAAGTTCTAAAGAGAGATACAAACTGTTTTGAGCTTGATGGATGGGCAGAACTTGGGTCACAGAGAAAGATCACGTTTTATCTGACTTACC